ATTTTAATTTCGGAGGTTTGACTCCGAAATAATTTCGTCCACATGCATATATATATTAATTTCATATATTTGTATTTTTATTCCTTAATTATTATATGATAAATAATGTTTACAAATTTATTTGAATTGTATCATTACAAATTTAGCAAATTAGGTTTTTAAATTTTAAACATTTATAATAATTTGTATGTAATAAAATTTCAAAACCAAATATAATCAAAGATCAATTTTTTTTTATATTTCAAATTTTGTTTATAAAGTTGATTTTTAAGCAATACAATATGTTAGTTAGATCAATATTATGAAAATAATTAAGCAATATAAAAACTTGCTATTTATATTATTTAAGCCAATAAATTTCGGAACAAGATTTATTGTTTATTTATTATTTTTGTTTTGGTGATAAACTGCTCTTCTGAGACTATTAAACCTTTATTAATTTTATAGTTACCGGTAAACACATGAATGTAAATCGTGACCAAAATTCGAGATCTCAAAATAGTGTAGTATATACTTTTGCTAGTTTGTTTAAAAGTAGCAATCATAAATACTTAAGTCGTTTAAACAAGAATATACAGTAAACGAAGTGTGAAGAGAAAGGTATTCTGTAATCAGAAAATTTTGAAATATATTTATCAAGAATTCATAAATATCAAATGCAAAAAAATAGTGCTCAGAATGAGTCGACCGAACTAACCTGGTTATAATGTATTTAATATATTGATCATGACCTATATAATAAATAGAATAAAAATTCCATGTGTAATAATATATATTACCCTAAAATCATGATTTTTTGGACTTTTCTACTACGAAAGCTTCGCACTATATTGTTTTTAATTGTCTTGTCATTTAGCTAAATATTATAATGCTTGGATTTTAAATGACGATTTTGATAGTTACGCTAAGAGGATTAAGTGTAATGATTATATAAATCGGTTTCTTTACAGTATGAAGTAAGATCAAAAAGCCTAATTCAACTTGAAGTTAATATGATTGTTGACAAAATAAGTTCTTTTTTCCATTTATCGGATCGAGCATATACTGTATAGTATATTGCTGATTTTCATTTAGGCAAAAAAAAAATTTAATGGAAATTGAAACTGTTATTATTTTACAAAATTTTATTATACATGTTTGTGCAATGATTCAACTTTGTTATGATCATATGATATGCATAGAGGGTATCTATTGATTGATATATTAAATAAAAATTTTAGATTCTCGCTCTGCTGAACGGCATGGATATGGAAACCTTACTTCATCGACACTCTTTCGTAGACATAGCATTTTACCGAAAACAAATCCCGACATGTTTTATTTCACCGACACTTATTTGACCGACAAGCTCATTTCACCAACAGTTTATTTAACCGAAGCTTATTTCGCTGACAAAATACTTCTACTCATTTTCATTAGGGTCAAATTAGAATTAGAGTCGATTTTTTAGTGTAATTTATAAAAAAAAAACTTGTCAGTGCAATGAGCTTCGATAAAATGAACTTGTTGGTGTGTCAGTGAAATAAATTTGTTAGTCAAATAAGTGTCAGTGAAATGAACCATGTAGGCGAATTTTTTTCGGTAAAATTTTATTTCTACAAAATGAGTTTCGGTGGGACCTATATAACCAACTGGCCTTCCACCTAGATTAACACTAGTTATAATAACATTTTATTACTTTAAATATTTCGCTTTATTTTTTATTATTTTTGAATTTTTTTTTTAGTTAAACGCAAGTAGCTTGTTCTCAATCTTTTTTGGATTTAACTAATCTATTACGCAAAATTCCCAAACACGCCAACTAGGCTGACTTAAGAGTACAATTTCCTCATTATGATTTGCTGGTGAATGTCATTCGGAATTTAAGCAAATCAAAATAACTGTGACAAGCATGAGCAATTTTTCAGTCAATCTGATCATCGGATAAACCTATTGAAGCAGGGACTTGAGAACAATAGAATTATTGTCAATGTAAATATATTGTTCAAGTAGCTTATTTAAATAAACATTAGAACATTTAGGGAATGTAACATTTTACCAACAAAAATTATATACACAAAATTTATTATCACTCGCTTCGCAAAAATGTTAATATTTTGCTGTGCAAGAGAATTAAAAATGAACAAAGATTTAAAGACTAATTTAGATAATCAATACATTATCATTTATTACCATTACTAGCTATATAAGTCTAAATGCAAACAAATAAGGATGTTTACGGAAAGTTTTTATTTTCAAAAAACTTCTTTACGGGCTAAATTAAATTATTTAAATATAAAAATTTTAGTAAAATGCTCTTGGCAATTATATAATAATTTAAATCAATGTATATAAACTTGATTGTGTAAGTAATTTGATATATAAGGTAAAAAAATAGTGATAGCATTATACTTATAATTAAATGAATAGGTTCATTGATGATAAGATATACTTTTTCGTGTATTGAATTTTTTAAATTAAGTTGATTGGTTATGATTACGTTTGATCTACCAATCACATGAGAAAACATAGAATAACCTATCTTGGGCAATAGTAAAAATGTCGAAGAGCAATTTACTATAGAATAACTGTTCTAACTTAAATTCAAATCAGTTTCTAACCCAAATTTTAATTATATTGCTTTAGATACACTTCAAATCAGGAAGGTTAATATTGATGGACAGAATTGCGTTCCGGAATCTCACTAGTTTATCTATGCTACAGAAAAGCCCAACTTGCAAGCTTAATATATAGTTTAAGATAAAAATTACACATGAATAAATGTATCCGATATAGTACATGTTACTGTGTCATGGGATCTATAACAAAATTAATTATTAGTCATATGACGTTATAAGAATCAGCCAAATTTGTACAACGCTTATCGAATTTTCTTAAGAATTAATAAAACCAAAAAATTGTCAAATAAGTTGTTCTTAATTTGATCCATTATATCCGAGTATTATGTACAAACTCTTAAGCCTTATTTAGCTCGGAACATAGTTGATGTCATTTGTGAAATATATGACAGATCAAACATTATATATGATGAAAAAAAGAAAAAAACAAGAACAAAGAAAATTTTGAAACACAAAGATCAATTCTCCTTCAAACATTAACACGTGTTATATCTTGTTTATTTTATTAATCTAATTATTTTTATTATTGTAAACAAGTGATGAATAATGTATTATTAATATTAATATAATTTAAGTATAGCTATTTTATGTTTGTCGATATCACATAACTAAATTAATCATGAGGAACTCTTTATTAGTAGACTGGGCAAGTTATTATTATTAAAAAAAGAACTGTTTTTTTTTCTCTAAAAATTAATAAATGGCATACAAATAATCAAATGACCTTTGTATAATGACTATGGCGCAAAGTAACCTTGCATTGAAAAATGATATATTGAAGCACCAACTGCTCAGTAACGAATGATGGAATATTTTGTTTTATTTGTGTTAGTTGTCAAAAATTTATAGAGCACATAACCCTTTCAATCATTAGGCTTTTACGAAAATGAGGTTAATTTCTCTTCTCTCAGTGATCAAGCTTAACACGTGTCTCTTTCATTATCATCAAATTTGGTTATTTACCTGGTTCACTAATGTTATTGGTTCTCAAATGAAAAAAGAACCCGGATCTCTGGAGCATAAACAAGTTTTATTACATGAAATTTATTATATAAAGGTTTAATGATCCGTCTTTTTATACCAAGTGCTAATTACTATAGATTTATCCTATATAGACTTTCTAAAAAAAAAACTCAAAAAAAAAGGAAAAGAATAAAAAAAAAAAAAACCAAAAAAAAAGAAATGGCAGCACGTAATATTAATAATATTAATGTCCCAGCGCTCGCTAACCGAATCAGAATAATCACAAGGCTCAATCATCCTACACCTCGAAACACAGAAGAATTAGCAAGAAATTTCGATGGGAATAACGAAGTCTCGAGTTTTGGCGCTTTAATTCTTACAATAATGCCAGCATGTAGTTTAATGAATATTCATAGACGTAACATTATCCAAAGAACTGGTAAATATATTTGGCGCAGTTTTAGCCTCTTTCAGAAAGGAGTCTTTAACAACCTTGCCCAAAGAATTAATAGATTTCGAGCTAGACAACGTGGCCAAATTATAATTAATTCAAAACAACAGGACATTAGTGAATTTGTTTATGGCTGTGATTTTTATTAATAATAACTTTAGGATGAAGGTCAACTGACTTTTGAATAATAATAGAGGTCATTACATTTGATACTTTTTAGCAAAAATGCTTATTATGGTTAAAATCAATTAATAAACATAAATAGTATTGTATATTTATAGAAATAGTTAAGGTTTTCTTAAATAACTGTATGATTTAAGCATTTCTTTATTCTTTTAGGTCAGGCGCCTTTATGAAATACTCCTATATTTCTTTTTAAGATTAACAAAAACTTCTGTGCAGAAATAAATCCTTGTATTGCGAAGAATGTAAATGTAATAAAAGAGTTATATATAAAGTAACTCTAGATATAAGAATCTTTTATATAAGAAATTTTTGATGTAGGAATGTCCCAATTGAGAATTTTATAATAAAAAGCATTTGACATAAGAAAATCTCGATATAAAAGAAAGATATTGAGAGGACCCGACAACTTATATCAAGAGTCACTTTTATTATGTAAGTATGTACATACGTAAGTAAGTACGTATATACGTACGTACGTATGCTTAAAACAATAGTAACAGTTAACGATACACACATACGTACATAATAGTATTACAGTGAAATGAGCACATAGCCAATTTATGGTTTACTATTACACTTACATAGTAAGTACGTAACACAGCCAAAAATTTCTACATTATATCTGTGAACGTCTCCTGGTTACCCATATTATTCTATTCCTTTTATATGATATTATTACATTTTTTTTATTATTGACCATTTCCATTTTTGTTGCCGTACCTTCCTTTTTAGTATTGCTCGACATAAGGGTGAAAAGATAATCCTTACCATAGTAGTACAACTCAATAAATTCGATTATTGAATTTATTGAATTTCGTGCTTGAAGTGAATTTTGTGGCTTTAGTAGCTTTAGTGCCCTTAGCAAATATAATATCTTTAGCAAATAAGTTCTTTGTGTAAATTAATAGTAATAAAAAATGTATAAAAAAACTCATCTTTTGCCTTGAATAAAAAAAAAAGAGAGAGAAGGAAAAAAAAACCTCTCGGAGTACGAAAACTTCGAAGTATTTAGTAGAGGCTGTAGTCTCTAATAAGTTTCCCTTTACAGGTTTTCCCTGTGCAGCCCTCATATGTTTTACCGAGCACGTGACCTTACGCGTCAGGTCACGTGTGTTGCATCAAATATCATTAGTCATGGCTCTTTGCCCGGTAATTGTATTTTTGTTAATAAGTAGTTAGTCCCTGTGACTATCAAATACCGTACTATATTAAGAAAAAGAAAAAAGAAATAGTATTAGTAATACAAACATTTATATAGTAACGTCTCACATGATTCTTGTGACACTGTGACCTCGTACCACGTTCTGATTGGCTAAATTCGATCACAAGATCCAGTCGCAGTACCTACAAAAAGAAAACAGTATTAGTAAAGTAATAAGAAAAAAACCAAATAGACCAAATAGTAATGGAACGCTTATTAGTTGGACTATACATGTCGTAGAAACTATTTCGTCATTGATTTTTTGATATGAATTTCTGAGTTATTTCTGAAATAACTCAGACATTTCATATCAAAAAATCAATGCCGAAATAGTTTCTACGACATGTATAATTTTGACCAATTCTTTCCACGCCTCGATCGTAGCCTTACCAATATTAGGGTTTGGTTATTATAGTTATAGTGTTCTTGATATTATAGCTTAGTTAGTATTAGTGTTTGTATTGAGTTGTCATATTTCGACCCATGACACAACCCACAGGAGGAACCGTCGATGTTACACGACTGATTCTTCACCCGGTGTGCAACATATCAAATTATTTTACAATACCAGATTATTCCGCTAGCACATGTTATGAGTATAATATAACACCACGTTTATTATAATAAAATGGTGCTGGATTATGATCATAACATGTACTAGCATGATCTGGTAGTGTAAAATAATTTTTTTATATGTTGCATACCGGGTGAAGAATCAGTCGTGTAACATCGACGGTTCCTCCTGTTACTTTTACAACGTACGTACGTGCTTACTTACGTAATATTGTCTAACAATCATCCATTGTTTCATAATAATGAATACATCATATGACGAATTTTTTTATTAAGTTTGCTGTGTTTTGTATGTATCATACCACATTGAAAATTTATTATCAAAACTGTCTATTCTTAACAAAATGTTGATTGTAATACTGTATTCACAAATTATTTGTTTCAAGTTTTATTTTCTAATAATTATTAGGAACTGGGAATCGTTGAGTAGAACCTACGATTTTTACAATTATGCAATTTTATTAGATATCATGCGCGTATGATGTATTGTTTCACGAACATATAAATATAGCCATAAAGAGACTAGCCTATATTTTCTTTCCTGCAACCATGTGAATGGGTATAGTCTTCTTTTTTTCATATTAGTTTGGTTAATATATTTTTGTTTGATTACTCAATCATTACGCCTTTATTTTTTGCATAATTTCATTTCTTATTTAAATTAAGCGTTTATTAATTGCTTATTAAAGGTGTACGTACTATTTAGGTTCATGAAAAGTATGATAATTTGAGTGTCGCCAAGTAAAAACCAGAAAATCTAACATAAATATTATTACATACGTTGACTTTGTAGTTTCACGAAAATATCAATTTTACCAACAGCCATTTCATCTAAAGACCATTTAACCAACGTCACTAATAAATACTTGCAATTAGAGGCCTGTATTGGGTCCCGTGGCCTGGCCCGCAGATTTCTGCGGGCTGGGCCGGGCCTGAAACAAAATTTTATAACTGCGGGCCAGTGCAACCAAACATTTTAAAATTTTATATAATAAATTTTGCGTGCTGGGCCAGACCGGGCCATAACAATAGGTAATTCGCAGGCCCTTGCGTGCAATTAATAAAGTGCTAATCCTAAACCTATGTGACGTCAGTTAAATGGTTGAAAAAACGAGTACATGTCTGCTTTCAATTGATTACATTCATTTCTTTGGTATTTTTTCTCTTTTATACTTGTTTCTTTGACAACAATTTTATTAACAATAATTTTATCAAAATTTTCATGTTTATATTAGGTGTTTCCCCAATATTTTTCAGTGATTTAATTCTGGAATTTTCATTTTCATTTTCTTAATGCTTTTATTTACTAATATTTCATTTTCATTTTGTCAAGTTAAATCAGAAGGTTCAAACATAGAATAGATGTTATTTGTATTTATCTTGCTCAGGTGCATCAACAAAAATTCATGCTTATGTAATAGTTGACAAAATTTTTTAAAGTTCATTTGTTAGGGTTAGAATTTATTTAAAGGGTTCCTGGTAGCAAAATTGCTCACAAAAAACTTTTTATTATAACACAGAAGATAGTTTTTTATGTAAATTTTTGAGAAAAGTCATTTTGTCAAAGTGAACAGTTGTTTTGATTGTGTTAGGTTATATGAATACATAGTTAATTATTGGTTAATTCTTGTTGTTAACATATAAGCATGAAAATTTTATTAGTGTTTTGTTGGCATTAGGAATATGTTCAGTTATGAACAGTTACTTAGTAATTGCTTAGTTATTTAGTTGATTAGTCATTTAGTCACTTAATACTTAGTTGCCTAGTTACTTAGTTACTTAGTTACTTGGCTGCTTAGTATTAGCTTACTAATATATAAACCCAGTTAAGTTTTTCAAGTCTAATTAAGCAACAAACATATCTTTTTTCTTTAATATTGTAAACACATCTTGGAATTCTTTAGAAACAGAAATCTAAAAATAGTTCTTCTTGTAATTGTTTTAATAAATAATATTTGTCTATAAATTGTATTGGTATTTTTTCTCTAAGTTAATTCCTATAGGCAAGATTTATTTTCTTCTTAATAAATAAAATAAAGTTATTAGTATTGTATTACTTTTTCCAAACTACTTTAGAAAAGAATATAGTTTCTTAATAATATTTAACAAAAGCTATGCTTTCTTCTTGAACATTGGATATATCTATAAGGGATTTTTTGTACTGTATCATCATTATAGTATAAAAATTAAAAAGGTTTTCATTTATAACAGAACATAAAATATAAGATAAAACTTTTATAATAACTTCTAAAAATTAACTAAAAACAATTAATTTTGATTTAACTAGTTAAACAAATTTTTAAATATTAATTTATTCAAGTTAATAAATAATAGTTAATTACAAAAACTAGCATGAATAATTATTATTTATCTGGCAGCTTAATATAATTTATTTGTCTAATAATTCTATTATTAGGCAGAAACAAAAGTTTAAAATAGTTTAAAATAGTTTAAATTTTGTATCTGTTCAATAATTTTATTATTGATTAGAAAATTATAATAAGTTGCCAATAAACCCATTATCAGGCATGCTAATATTGCTTTATAACTTAATTATTTGATAAAGAATTTTAAAGTCAGTTTAAAAAATTGAATTCTTTTGGAATTCAATTTCTTAGTCTGATTTTAAATCCTTAATCCAATAAACCAGTTATCATGTAATGCCTATCTAATAATTATTTATTATTTATTTATAATAATTGACACATATTTTTTTAAAAAAATTTAAAGTTAAGATAATTAGAATGACTCAAATAAAATATTAATATAATATAGATACTGTAGAATAGATCTATTTTTTATAATACTTTTTTTAAAAAAATCAAATAAATTAATTCTTTTATAAAAATATTGGTGATTATAAATAATTTAACTTAAATTATTCAATTTTTTTATATTCAAATAAAAAAAAAATAAGATAATAGTTTTTTAATGTTGTTGTTTATTTTTTATAAGAACTTATTTATTTTGTGAATCTTATTATTAAAATGATCATAAATTATTAATTTTTATGCCTAATTAATAGAATAATTACAAAAATTTCAAATTAAAATCCTATTATCAATTTTAAATTCATTTAGATTTTTCTTAACTCAAATATAAATTATAATTTTTGAATATTTTTTTGTATTATTAATTATTTAATACAATTAAATAAAATATATAAAACAAATAATCATACAAATATTAAAAGAAAACTTATTAATTTATTAATTAAATATTTTTATAATTGGTACAATTTTATTTTATCACTTTTTCTCTAATCATTTTTACAATATAAAGAACAAAAAATTATAATATATATTTAAGAACATTTTTAGCTAGTTATAAATACTATTGCTTATAAGTATTATTGTTTCTTAGAATAATGTATGCTTATTTAATATGCATTTACATGTATATCAAATTTAATAATTTGATACTTTATTTTGAAATAACATCTCAAAATAGTAAAGTAATATATAGAGTGCATTATTTTGTAACTATACTATAATATATAATTATTTAAATCTTTTGTTTTATTTAAATTTTATTTTTTACTAGTATTTTATATAAGTCTTGTCTGATTATAAATCTGATACTTTAATTATTATTCAAAATCAGATTATTATAGATGGTAATTAAATAAAAGTTAAATAAATAACAATAGTTCTCATTTATATTCAGTTGACAAAAATAATATTAAACAAAAAATATATATATATGATGAGGTCAAAGGCAAATAGAAAGCTGATCATATAGGAAATTGCTGCTTTTGAAACTACTTTTCAATCTACTTGTCTTAATAAAGTCTTGAGTTCTATTCACTTAAATAGTTAAAAATCAAAAAAAGTTGTTATTTTATCATTTAAAGTTTCTTTTTTTAAAATAATTTAGTTGCTTTTTAAAATTGTTCTAATTATTATAAAAGTAGAATATTAATAAATTATAGTTTTATAAAGAATAAAATATATAAAAGGTTGGTATTTATTATAAATAAATTTTCTATTTTAAGTAATGCAAAATTCTTAAGACTCATTGCTATAATGATCAAAACAAACATTCATATTTAAGTAGAATTAACAAGATGTTGAATCATTTGAAAATTTTTTATTAGATAAATTTGACAAAATAAATGACTTTGATAAAATGAATGTTTGTTTTGAATTTTTCGGATCATGTCACATTATATATAATTCTAAAAATTTATTTATTCTACAGGCCACCATCTATCGCATGTTCAACCTAAAGGCAATACTAATACTCCTCATGACTTTCGTTCCTGGCTTTGCATGAAAACTTCGCACTGTATCTAAT